AATTCTTTTACTATTCTTTTATATGCTTTCGCTTTTCTTGACTCTATTAACTTTCTTCCTCACCTTTTAACTCTATCACCTTTTTTTTTATTTTTTATCTTCCCAAGATTGCACTCTTTTAGATATAATTTCTGATCAAATTGACCATGTCCTCTCTCTGCACTCCTCAACCAATATTGTTGTTATTGGCGCATCATGCTCATCACACTGAATTGGGTGACTCTAACACCACTGAACCTGCTGGCACTAAACCTATAACTTCTACATTTTTCAATTTCTCACTCAGATAGTTAACTTTGTGACTCGTTTTCCTGACAACCCTAATCATTTACCTTCACTCCTTAATATAAGTTTGGTTTCTTATCCAAGTTTGTTTTAAGTTTCACTTTTTTCCTCTCTAGATGTTTCTGACCATGGAATGATCTTTTTAAATTTTAAAAATCACACTTCTTTTTTTAACTCTCCCTATCACCGTACTATTTACTACTACCCTAAGGCTGACTGGGATTCTTTTCATTATATTCTTTGCGATGGTCCTTGGGCTGATGTCTTTTCCATCTCAGCTGAAAAAATTTCTACATAACCTCCTGGATTCAGGCAGGATTGGAAGCTTTTGTTCCTTCTTGTCTATTTTATGTCAAGCATTATTCTACTCTACGATTTGCACCCTCTTTTGCAGCTGCTATATCTAATCATAATATTTTTTCATCTTTCTCAAAAGAACAACTCTCTGGAGAACAAGCAACTATTTTTTATTGCAAGAAATTAATGTAAAAAGGTGCTCCATTATTCTCAGTTCACTAAATCTTGCATCTTATCTTAGAAGTTAGGCTCTAAAGAATTTTGGAAAAAAGGCAGGTCTAAAGTTCATATCTCATTCATGGGACTGATCTTATTTAGTAAACAACCCGGCCCCTACTAAAAATAAGCGTTTTTGCAAATCTGGATACAGTAAAAGGATGCAACTTGTTAAATAAAAAGCCAAGCAAGAACGAGTTTTGGTTTAACGTAATAGAGATGATAGCTCATTTGAGCATTGACCATGGTGAAAGAAAAGCTTAAAAGAGGAAGACTAAAGTATACTTCTGCTGCTGCTGATGATTATGATGATGATGATGATGATGATGATGATGATGGCGATGTTGATGATGATAATAATGGCAATAATTGCCATGATGATGATGATAAATACAATAATGATGATGATGATAATGATGATATCGATGTTGATGATGATGATAATGGCGATGATTGCCATGATGATAATGATAAATACAATAATAATGATGATGATAATCATGATAATCATGATGGCAATGTTGATTATGATGACAATGGTGATGATTGTCATGTTGATAATGATGATGATGATGATAATGATGATGATGATGATGATGATGATGATGATGATGATGATGATGATGATAATGATGATGATGATGATGATAATAATGTTAATGATAATAACAATTAAGATGATGATCATTGTCAATATGGTGATGATGATGATGTTGGTCAGGTTGATCATAATGATGTTTATAAATGCATGTATATACAAAACCAAACATAAATTTTGAAAAACTTTACTTGTACTTTAGGATGTATAAATGTTAATGCAGCCCGGGTCACAAACCTAGTCCCAGCCCCAGCTATATTTTATCAAACCTTGCTCCGGTCAAATATCAACTCCGGTTGTTTACTTATCCTATTACCTATCCTAAATATAAGGCAAAAATATTTGCAAAGAACCTTCGTTCTAATTTGACCCTCAAATCTTAAATAAAATATCCATTCTCTTCCTTCCATCCCAATTAAACAGGATAACCCATTGTTAGACATTCAAAACACTCAAGCTTCTCTTGTTTAATCATTTCTCTTTGGTTATTACTAAGGTCTTTGATTCTATGATAAAAAAATTTCTCACATCCTATCTTAAGTCAAATAACTTTCAATATCAATGTGGTTTTCAATACTGTCTCTCAATATCTGACTTATATGTTTGATTTTGAGGTTGTTGAATTTAATTCTGTAACAGTTTCATGCATACAATGTATCACCCATATTTTGTAATGATCTGGACTTTTTACTGTTAAAAATGATGAGGAGCCAATACTATATTAAATTGATTATTTGTAACTCAATTTACAAATCAACAGAATGAACTAAGAACTCTTTGGACCATTTTAATAATCAAAATCATTAATCACATGAACAAATATTGATATGTCATCACTTTTCACAGGACTGAACTGTGTAGAGTTATGTTGTTTAATATTTCATTTTCAGGTTTTACTGCGTTACGAATGAAACATCTAAGTTCCTCAATTGTAAAACTCATTATTTTGAAATTTCCAGAATGAAATTTTATTCATTGTTGCTGTTGGATTTCAGGTGCTATCTTCAGAGATTTCATTATTCAGATAATTCTACAAAATCTGAATTTAGCAATTAAGCATTCTTTGTCAAAACTTTCTTTCTAGAAACGGTCTTTATTGATGTAGTTTCACCAGGAGCTGGATTGATGACTGATCTCTTTTAACTGTCGAATTAATGTGTCTATAATATCAGCCAAGATAGCAGCAAGAAGCTTTCCTCTGCCACAGTTTAGGTCAAAACTTTTAGCTCCTTTCACTTTTGATAATTTTTCTTTGAAAAACTCCAACACACTGCTCCAGCTTGAATCATATTCAAGCTGGAGCGGTGTTCTTGGTTTGTCTGTTCTTCTCTTTTTAAAACAAAATAAATTTCATTGTAGAAAAAATAAAATATTGCATACTTCAGCATACACTTCTGAACAAAGAATGAACCAATCCTTCTGTATTTAAACTAATAGAGCTAGTACAAGTATATTGGAGTTTTTGCCCATAGTCGTTTCAAAATAATTTTGGATTTATTGTCTCCTGGTTACAAACTCTTTTGCCATTTAATCAACGCACCCAAAGCAATTAAAAACAAAAACCTCAGATTCTGCAAATGTTAATGTTTTAAAGATCCACCCAGCCTTTGTATTTTGTGTATAAGGAATGAGTATCACGATAGGCAAGAGCTATGATGATTTATCCAAGAATGTGTATTAAAGTTGATGGAAACAAGAATGCTTTCTGTCCAACTGATATGTCCATCATTTTCTGAACACCTATTCTTTGCTCGGTGTTGTGAAATACCATAGCGATAGCATGATCGATGCCCAATATTAATTTATATGCAAAAAAAATCCTAAATTTTTTTTATCCTTATCATTATAGTTTTTTAACAACATGCTACAATCTCCGGAACGACCAAACATCCAAAAATCTATAGAACCTTTTACTTTAATTACAGTAGAGTCTGCCAACATCACAAGACACTTCAGCTTGAATTTGTAGGCTACCACACCTTCAGATCCCGAATGAGTGTTCTCAATATAGCACATGGTCTATGTTCTTTGCTTACAAGCTTGGTCGGGAAGCGGTAGCGATAGTTCTTGAATACTGAACACAGAAATAATATTAATTCGAAAAACTGGCCAGGTTTTTTAGTTGTTTTAAGAACATTTAAGTTTATGTATATACAGAAAAAAATTTTTTACGGACATACATGGAAACATAATAAACTTGAACGTTCTCAATACATCTTGGTGAGGAAGAATAAAAAGAATACTCGCGCCAAATCTACGAACAAACTAAATCTATTGGTTCAAAAAATTTTAATGTAAATAAATAAAAAAAAACCTCCGCAATATCCCAAGTTACAGTATTTCTTCTAGTTTTGACTGAACAATCTGTGTTCTTTGGTATGGTGGATTAGTGTGTGTGGAAACCTCAAATGCAAAGTCAGTGCTAAAACAATTGGTTTTACAGCAAAACCAATGTGCTGCTGGTCACATAAGCACTTCATTCGGTCACGTAGGTACGTTATTTATACCAGAATGAATATGCTACTGATCACATAGGCACTTAAGTAGTCAAGCTCGTGCACCTAAGTAGGTGCACGCATACCCTCACAATATTTTATAAAGTTTTAAACGATTCCCATGTTTTTCTGCAATACTTTTAGACAAGAAACACATGTTCCTAATCTAAAACGCTATTTAATGGACAAATTTCTGTAATATTTGGATCCAGCATTCAAGAAAACATATGTAATGATATATTACATGCATATATTTGCAGAAAAAATTTTTTTTATTATTTTTTGGCAGCTGTTTTGAAAAAAAAGCATATTTAAAAACCAAAATTGCTGTCGCAAAACAAAAAGTTTGTCCAGATTTAAATTAGGCGTCACATTTAGCCTTAAAAACAAATCATTATAGAAAAACTTTTTGATTTGCCCCACCATATTAATAGGAATTGAAAACTTTGATAACATGATAATTTACATGGAAATAAACGACTGAAATTGATATATCAAAAAAATTATAGTTGGCTGAATTTTAAAAACCATTATCTATAACAAAAGAAACAATTTTATATTAAATCTATTTGTGATTTGTTATTTTTAAATATTTATATATATATATTATATATATATATATATATATATATATATTTTTATGTTATTTTATTTATATTTGTTACGTTGATCAATAACACAAATAATCAATTAAGCCAACTTTATAAAAGAGACAAATGCTCTTTATATACCATAAGATTAGAGTAAAAATACACCAGAGTTTAGTGTCAATTTTGTCATGAAAATAGCAAACCAGTAAATAGAAATATTTTAAACCCTTTTGAGGGGTATCTTTTCTGATAGTATGAATTTTCAAATGTTTTAAAAAAACCAAAATCAGAAAACTCTTATTGGAGATTTTTAATCAAAATCAGCATAAAAACTTCAAAAACCTCAAACTGTGTTATAGTGTTACAATAAAAGGACACCCTACTGAAGCTTAATAGTACCATAATACCCAAACTCATAACTTTAAACTTTACCTTAAACAAGTTATAGCTTTTATTATTTGATTTTTTTTTAGTAACAGATTACTACTAGACCAAAATGTATGCAAACTAAAAACTAACTTTTAATATCTCTGTGTACAATATTTTTACTGTGTAAGTATTCCAATCCACAAAGAATTTGATAAGATTTTTCTGATGCTGTATTTTCATCTAAAGCACCTTCATTTGATATTTTGTTGTAAAGAGATCCCTAAAAAATAATATCATATATATATATATATATATATATATATATATATATATATATATATATATATATATATATATATATATATATATATATATATATATATATATATAATATATATATATATATATATATATATATATAAATATATATATATTATATTATATTATGCTGTAGTGCTGTAAGGGTAGAGCATTGATAAGCGATGAGTTTTGAGCTTGATCCCCACCACGTTCCTGGTAGTACCGCTCTAAACTTGCATCTCTTAAAGGCGGACTTGTCTATTGAGGTTAGTGTTTTGAAGTTAAAGAGTTGAGAGAAGGTTGTAGCCACAAAAAAAAGCCTTCTTGACGGTAGTGACCTGCTCTGGCTTGGGGTGGTAAATAATAATAATAATAATAATAGTAATATTATATATATATATATATATATATATATATACATATATATATATATATATATATATATATATATATATATATATATATATATATATATATATAATTATATAAATATATAATTATATATATATATATACGTATATATATATATATATATATATATATATATATATATATATATATATATATATATATATATATATATATATATACACACACATATTTATAAATATATGTTTATAAATATGTGTGTGTATATTAGGGCTGATCAGTATGCTAATTTGTTTTCAGAACATAGCTAATTGAAACTTTTCCCATTCAACTATCATATTGTGGTTCAAAAATATTTTTTACTAAATTTTGTTATTTGCCCTAAAGGTCCCTCAAAGCCCCCAAACATTTGACAAGTCCCTAATATTATTGAAAAAAAAAATTATTTAAAGATATGTCAACCTGGTACTCAAAAAAAGCAAAATCATTTCAAAATTTTAAAAAAACAAAAAATGTTTTTTATAAAAATCGCAGGTTTAGGTTTTTTTGAATAAAAACCTAAACTTGTAATTTTTATAAAAAACATTTTTATAAAAAAAAAAATGCTTTTCAAACTAAAAATGGAAAAAAGGTAATATTTACAACATTTTTAGTAATAAGTTTTTTTAAGTTATTTTTTATAAAAAATGAATCTAATTTTTAAAATTTTTATAAAATTTTGCTTCTTTTGAGTACCAAGTTGATATATTTGTAAATAATTTTTTTTAATAATATTATCGACCTGTCACATGTTTGGGGGCTTTGAGGGAACTTTAGGGTAAATAATAAAATTTAGTGAAAAATATTTTTGAACCGCAGTATGATAGTTGAATGGGAAAACTTCAATTAACTATGTTCTGAAAACAAATTAGCATACTGAACAGCCCTTGTGTGTGTGTATATATATATATATATATATATATATATATATATATATATATATATATATATATATATATATATATATATATATATATATATATATATATATGTATATATATATATATATATATATATATATATATATATATATATATATATATATACACACAAACCTTTATGAACAAGGCCCCTGCGCAGAGAAACAAGTTGAGCGTGGTACTACCAGGGACGTGGTGGGAATCAAACTCGGAACCTCTTGCTTATGAAGCAAGTGCTCTACCACTACACCACTACCGCATATATATAGTAAAGGTGTTAAATATCCCGCATGTTGTAAAAAATAGCTGTTAGCTTGTCTATATTATTTTAACTGACTATTATTATTAAACTAATGCGTTTTGCTGTAATCTAATTAAGGTTAGAATACAACAAAACGCATTTTAATTGAGGAAACTAATTAAATATAATGTTTTTTTTAAAAACCACAAAAAAATATGTCTTCACGTATTCATTATTAGCAACCAGTTTAAAAATTAATGCTTGCTGAAGTCTAGCCATTCAGATAGCACCGCAGTAATAGTTGTTGATTTTTCAGAAAGCTATATCTGTAAGTTATTGCACTTTAATACATTTAACAAAAAATTATCCCTACACACCGGTGTTGCATACTTGAAACACAGTGTCAGATTACACCAAGCATAAGCCTGCTGCAATATGGGCTCATTTGCTGCCAGTTCTGCATCATCTAAAGAGCATCATCCAACACTTACAAAATACATTTTTGGAGTGATAAACCAACAACACAGTATAGGAACAAACATCATATGCTGTTAACTTTTCATTATTTGTACGATAAAGGATATACAGGCAGCAGCTGGAATTTCCTTGAAACTGGCAATGGCAAGAGCACAGTAGACGTGATCAGAGGCACTCTAAAATGTACCACTGATCAAATAAACAACCGTGTTGTTATAACTTCAGCTTCAAATTTTGTAGAAGCTTCACAACAGAAGACTGTTATCAACCTATTTGTAGCCAGTGAAGAAGATATTGATGCTATAGATATTATGATCCCTAAAGGAGTGAAAGCTATTGCAGGAACAATGAAACTCCATCAATTACAATTCATTGAGAAGTGAACTATTTCTGTTCATACTTTTTCATACTTTTGCCATATTCTAAGCACATCTAATTGTCATAAAACAAGGAGGGTTCAGTTTGATCTTTTGAAAGTGGTTGCAGAAAATGAAAATGAACATGTTTCTGAGATTGAATCCTATCTGTTCAATACAGCAACAGATATTGTACATATAGTTGCAGATGGGCAAATAGTTAGTCAGCCACACGATCTGATAAACGCTGATGGTGCTTTAAATGTTGAAGAAGATCCAACTTCAACTGAACTTGTTATGCTCAAAGTGCACAACTGGTGTATTGTTCAATATGATAATAAGCGTTACATTGGGCAGATACTTGATAAAAATGCAGATTCAGATGAATGTGAAGTATCCACATAATGAAAGGAATTAACAAATTCAAATATCCAACTTGTGAAGACAAAATATGGTATAAATGAGATCAAATAATTGAAAAAGCTTCACCAACACAGTTTCTAGATGTGCAAAGTATTTCTGCTAAAGTTTTATGTAGTTTAAGTAGATTTCCCTAATTCTGAACAAAATCGCACTTAAAGTTAAATAGGTCTGCTTGCCTTTTGAATTTCATATAAATTTATAAACAAACTGGAACCGTCACTGAATTGAATCATTTCAAGCAACAAGTATTTTTATATTGAAAACTACAACAGAAATATCAGTTTTTAGTACCAGGTTGGTTGCAGCCTCAGCAAATGCTCCCCCATTAATCTAATAGGTTTACTGGTATTGAATATATAAGTTTGTTAATATTCCTTCAAATAGTTTTCAACCTCATTTAAAATATCACTTCCTTTCATGCTAAAGCCAATATAACTCATAAACTGTACAAGTTCAACTAAAAGCCTCTCCGTTACTTGGCTTATTGCAATTGGCTTACCAACACCAGCAGCTCCATTTCTTCCTTTTATTCTGCAAAAAATAGTTGTTTTATGAATGTTATAGCATAAAGTAGCTTCTGAATATGATATCTTATTATTGATAGCCTTAATAAAAAGTTTAATTTTTTTAGTTTTTGACATAAATTTTAATTGTAGTGTAAAACAATGGTGTTGTTTTAAATCAGAAACAAATGAAAAATTAAAAAAAGGTTGCTGTCGTTAAAATAGCAATAATATCTTGAAATAAAATGGAAAAACATGTTTATACTAAGTTATATACTAAAATTATATACTTAAATACTTAAATATATACTTAAATTCCAAGATATCCCATCCTAGGCAAAGGTTTTGCATCAAAATACTATAGTAAGGCAAATATTATTCTATTTTTATATAAAAATAAAACAATATTTGCCTTATTAAAGTATTTTGATGCAAAACCTTTGCCTAGGATAGAATATCTTGGAACTTTCATTTATTTTATTTTAAACATCAATTGAGTCCTAAATTTGCAATACAATAGCAGAAATGCCACAGTAAATGTTGCGGGAAAAGCCTTAGGACACCACTTCAAAGATAAAATCGGTCATATATAAAACTGTTTTAATTTAATAAAAATTTTCTAGTAATTTTAGATTATTTAAAAATTAGTTTTATAATGCAAAACTTTAGATTCTAAAAAAAGTTTACCTGCATGTAAGGAAATGAATCCAATTCTTGTTTTTGTAATATTGCATATTTTATATATTTCTAATTGATGCATTTATTTTTTTATTTTTTTTTTGCAAATCTCACTTGATGATTTTATTTTTATGAAATATTTGGTCCCAAGGTATTTATTTGGACCTAATATACTCTAATATATAAAGTGCTAATATATTCTGTCTAATTTGATGTTGAAAGTTAAATGTTGAGGAATAATCTCAATTATGATAAAAAAAACTCTTTACATCTATATTCACTTTTCTACACCAGCTTGGACAAAAGATAGCTTTGGTGCTGATGCGCCTTTCAATGATCTGCAGCTCATTCATGACATGAAGGATTTCAATTAAATAGACAAGGAAGTTGCTGATGTTATTCTTTCAAAAATGAACAATCACCAATGGTATTTGACAGAAAAAGTAGTTCCATTTGCTTTACCAGTAAACATGTTTCATTCTCGGTGAAACTAGAGATGGTTACAAAACTCTTGGAAACTCCAGTGACAGAGAGTTTTTGACATTGAAACCGGTTTTTTTGTAAAATCACTTGTCAAATAGGATTGGCAAATCTTCTGGGACCTAAACCCCGCACTTTGTTTGGTATTCTTGGTATCAACAGACTGGCTTGATAAACCAATTCACCATTGGACAGAGCATCCAGGCTACCCAAAAACTGAGAAATTTGTTTGTACGGTGATAGTTGTTAGCTATACCGCAGAGAGGAGTGAAACTAATTTCAGAATTAATGCCCATAATTACCAGTGATCCACAACAAAAAGCATGGCTGATGCAGGGTGTAGAATAGGGTGGAGTAAAAACAACTTTATTTAGAAATTCATATTTTCTCCATGATTTCTATAATTATTATAAGAATAGTAAAAAAATTAGAAAAAGCTGAGAAAAATTAGACAAATATTACCCCAAGCAGCAATTTTTGACAAATATTACTTATTATTGAAAGCACAAATTTTGCATTCAAAAAAATAATTTTTAAAGGTGTTTTGAAGTCATATACAGAGCCGTCCAGAGGGAGGGGCAATGAAGGTATTTGGCCCTGGGCATCACACTATATGGGGCATACGCCAAAAAAAAATTACTAATACTTGAAAAAAATAAAAAATTTATATTTTGTGATTAATGATGATGTTTTGATTGGTTGTAAAATTATTTTACTTTTTATTTACACAGTTTTAGCTATGGTCAATTACTAACAGTAAAGTATTTAGCTTTTGTTTAAATTGAAAAAAATCAAAAACGGTTTGTTCAGTAGAAAACTAAATATATATATATATATATATATATATATATATATATATATATATATATATATATATATATATATATATATATATATATATATAAATATATATATATATATATATATATATATATATATATATATATATATATATATATATATATATAATATATATATATATATATATATATATATATATACATATATATATATATATTTTATAAGGTGCTCTAAGTCCTAATGGTCTTATCACAGAGCACCGCCACAAGGAGAATTGCCTTTATTATATTTATTCTCCATTTCCAACCTTACCGAAAACATTTGTGTGCCAAGCCAGGAATTGAAGTCGCAATATTGGTCTGAGTCCGAATGCTTAACCATTACGCTACGGCTTTGTGAACGTAAAAAAAATAAAATTCTAATTTTAAAGTAACTCTTATTTTTACTTTTTTTATTTATTTTTGAAGTTTTTAAATCATACTAAGATTTAAAAATGCTTGTTGTGTTTAAACGATAACTTTTTCTAAAGTTTCATTATTTAGTTTTTTTTTAATTTATCATCTTGGTGAAATTTAAACATCTTGCCAAAGAATGACAAAACTATAGGAATATAGAAGTTAAGAAAAAAATGGTAAGCTGCTAATTTAAAACAACTCTAAAGTAATTAATAAATTAAAAGGCTGATTTATGATGTGTAAAATAATGACATATATGGCCATAAAATATTTTATGAACAATTAAAGTATATTAACCCCTTCCATGAATTCCATTACAATAGAGACTGTTGTGTTAGTATAGGTTGAACCAAAGTAGTGCACAATTCGTTCATGATTTAATGTTTGAAAAAGTGAAATTTCATCTTGAACTTTTTCAAATTCTTGCTTTGCATTAACATTATTGTCAATATCTCCAGTCTCAATACATTTCATAGCTAATCTTCTGCCTGTATTTTCATCTGTACAAAGATAAACCTAAAGTAGAACCAAATTGAAATCAGACACTAGATTTGTTTTCAGTCGGGCTTGGTCGAGCAGATCGCACAGATCGCACAGATCGCACTCGATAACTGATCGCACTCGATAACTGACTACGGAAATAATATTTAGTTGCGAAAAACCGGCCAGATTTTTTAGTCGTTTTGAGAACATTTAAGTTTTTGTATGTTTCCTTGTTTGTCCGCAAAATAATAAGTTCATTTTATCTTAAATTTTAAAATAATTTGTTTTACGAACTTACATGGAAACATACATAAACTTGAATGTTCTCAAACATCTTAGTACGGAAACAATAAAAAAAATAATATTTGCGAACACAAAAAACACGCCAAATCTACGAACAACTAATTCTATTGGTTCAAAAATACAAACCGAAATTTCTGGAGTATTCAAAAAATACTAACCGAATGTCCTGATTATTCTGTTGAAGTATTTTTAAAAATTGTATTATTTGAGTTTTGTTACGTTTTTGTTGAGATTTCTAGCATAAATTATTGTAAGAATATACTATCAAACAAACTATTATTTTAAATCTTGGAGCCACATCTACAAAGCTTTAAATGATTTAAACTAACATTATTTGTTTACAATAATAAATGTTTTAAATCTATACTTTTTAACTTGTCAACGTTTGGTAAATATATTATAGATTTTATTAGTATATTATAATTTTTTATATATAAGAGATGTATTTTTTTTGTATGTATCTTGATGTATGTAAAGTTTGTAATGTATCTTTATGTATGTAAAGTTTTTTTATGTATGTAATGTATTTTTATGTATGTATTTTTCATGTATGTAGTTTAATGTGTGTGTATTTTATTCAAATGTAATCTTTTAAAGCAATATGTGTGATAGATTTTGTAAATAAAAATACTTTTAATAATAACTGTGTTTTTGATGAAATTATTAATAATCATCAAAGTTAATACAAATAATTTTAACCACTAATCCATTTTCCTCAGTGTACCCGATAACTGATTCTTTCTCCCAAGAAAAAAAAGTTTTTAAGTTCTTAGAAATTGGTTTACTAACTTCAATTATTTTTGCTTCAGTCATTCTTACAAAGTTGTTATACATAGAGTTACTTTTTTCTGTTTTAAATACTAATTAAAATTATAAAGCCCATTTACTAAAACATCATCAGCAGTATTGTGCAGCAGTTCCGCTTCCTCCTCACAAAATAATTTAACGTTTTATTAAATTTTTATCTAGCTGATTGAATTTCTACAGTAACTCAATGAATTAATTATTTTATTTGTTCATCTTACTAAATTAATTTTATGAAAAAAATTATAAAAGAGCGACGTTTCAAAAATAATTGCTCTAATACATTTATTTTGCTTAAAGTTTTTTTCACGTTAAAAGCTATTTTTCTTTTTTTAACTGTCTCTCGTCGGTCCAGTTAATCTTATTGCGCTTTTTTGTTTGTTTTTAAAATGTTCTCGAAACGACTAGAAAATCTGGCCTGTTTTTTGCAACTAAATAATATTTCCGTGGTCAATTATCGAGTGCGATCGCACCCGCTTCCCGACCAAGCCTGCGTTTCACAAATTTTTTTTGTGTTTTTAATGAAATACCAACAACAACAACAAAAAAAGAATGTAATTTGGATTTGTTACAACATAACCTGTTGTATTAAGAACTATTTTGAATGAATTGAAAAAACTTTAACACCAAATTACTAAAGCAGTTAACAGGCTTTTTATTTAAAAAAAGAAAAAAGTTATTTATTTTTTTTAAAAAAAAACTATTTATTTAAAAAAATTATTTAAAAAAAAATTTTTTATTTAAATTATTTTAATTATTAATTAAACTATTTATTTAAAAAAAATATATATAAAACTTTAATTAGGATTCAAAAGTTAAAAGATTTTTAACTAAATAAAGTTAAGTGCTATAATAAGTTATATATTGGTTTGTTAATCCTTTTACAACATCATCGCATAAATAATAAATCTAAAGAACTTGGATGTCATGCAATTTTTAAAATATTATTTGATTTCTTTTATGCAATGAATCTGATAAAAATATAAAATACTGGGTACCAATTTACATATGTATACCAAGTTATACATGTATAAAAAATTTAAATACTAAGACTTAAAACTAATTTACATACATATCAGACCTTCTTATCACTTACATTATGGAGCGGTTATCATGATTTTTTTTTATCTATTAGTAAGAGTTAGAGTTACGTAACAAAAGAATTGCATAAGTATTGAACTCATTCATTAAAAATAATTAACAAAGAAAACAGGTGGCACTCTTCTTAAGTGATTTTTCATAACATTCATGAAAATTATCAAACCGGAAATAATTTTTTTCACAAGACCATGAGCAAGTTCAGAAAAATATTTTAGTTTTACATCATTATTATTACTTAATTAAGTAATAGGTTTGTAGAAATTTTTATTTACACTTCTTACGTTTATGCATATTGCTTTATTTTTATAAGGTTCAACTTTTATAATGCTGCTAAGCAGGGCGGACGCGAGTAGGGGTCACGTGGGGGAGTGCCATAACAACTTTTGCTGTCTTAAAAATAAATAAATAATAAAAAAAAAAGGTCCTCGTTTTTTAAAAGTTACCGATTGCCATAATGACATTTGCCAACTGACTTTACCGACTAACCTATCGACAGGGTCTACATTTGCAGGCTAACTAGTAAAAAAGGGTCACATTTGCCGACTAAGGGTCAAATTTGCTGACTTAAAATCATTGATGGGGGAGTGTCACACTCCCCCCCCACACCCCTATCGCGCCGGCTTTGCTGCTAAGTTAAATTTTTTAATATTTAAATATTTTTTAAACATCTATATGTCAACCAAAATAAAAGTACATAAACAAACAAAAAAAAACAATAAAATAAATAATTTTAATACATATAAAAAAAAAAAAAGATTTTTTAGTAATTCTCCTTATGTAAAAAGTTTCAGTTAAAACATTGTCAAGCCAACAGAAAAAAATAATAGGCCAGGTTTATATATATATATATATATAAATATATATATATATATATATATATATATATATATATATATATATATATATATATATATATATATATATATATATATATATATATATATATATATATATATATATATATATATATATATATATATATTTATATATATATTTATATATATATTTATATATATATTTATATATATATATATATATATATATATATATATATATATATATATATATATATATATATATATATATATATATATATATATATATATATATATATATATATTTATATATATATATATATATATATATATATATATACATATATATAAATATATATATATATATATATATATATATATATATATATATATATATATATATATATATATATATATATATATATATATATATATATATATATATATATATATGTATATATATATATATATATATATATATATATATATATATATATATATATATATATATATATATATGTATATATATATATATATATATATGCATTATTATTAGGTTTTAATTTTCACATAAAAAATTATAATAATGAATTATTAATAATAAAAAAAACCCAATAAGATGACTAATTAGTTTGTTTTTTTCAGCGCATTTTATAATGCGTCATTTTTATTAAATGCAAAAAAAAATCGTGGCCATGTTATCAACAAAAAAATATATATGCGTGGTCATTCAAGGCGTGCGACCGCACACGTCTCCTGAGAAGGCCTGCATATATACATGTAACACAGGTACTAGTTTAGATGCTGTATAAAAAAAATATTTGATCAGCATATTTACCAATGTCATATAATAAATTGAGAATAGAGTTATTTCTATGCTAAAACTACATAATGAGAGTTTATTTCTTATTTATATTTGAAGTTGCAAAAACATGACATTGCACATTAAACATAAAAAAAATTACTATTTTCTCATTAAACTCATCATTTTTATTATTCACAAGATGTTTATAGGAAAATCAATATAAAGTGTTTTAGGTAAATATATAAGAAAATCTATATAGAAATAATCTATATAGAATATCAAATATAGGAAATAGTCAATATAGAATACAGGAAATAATCTATATAGAATAACTAATATAGGAAATTTTTATTTTTATTTTTATTATTTTTTTTTTTAAGTTGATTTAGGTGCCCTAAGAAGTCCTTAAGGTCTTATCACAGAGCACCGCGGAAGAGCATTTAATAGGAAATTCACGCCTTCTTCCCAACCGATGTCCCAAAACTTGCTCAGAGGTGGGGTTTGAACCACGGATCTTACGTTTCTGAGGCAAGTGCGCTACCACTGTGCCATGGCTGCTTAAGTCAGGGTTAGAGTCAGGGTTAGGGTTAGGGTTATCAATATAAAGTGTACAAGGTAATCAATATAAAGTGTACTAGGTAAATTTTACACACAGTATCAGGGCTGTGGAGTCGGAGTTGCTACATTTTCAGAGTCGGAGTCGCTAAACAAAATCGCAACTCAAACTCCAATAGTAAACAGTTAATAACCCAGAGTTTAATTGGGGATACCGGTTTTTTCAGCAACGTTGAGGAGGGGAGAACTATGTTTTTGATTTCCCCCTCCCCTAATTCTCCTTTAGTTAAACGGGTGCCGCAACAATAATTTTTAATCATTGTTTTCTTAATAATCATTTATATTTATCTTGTTCAGTTTTATCTAATAATAAGGTGTTGATTTAAAGGCATTTTTTAAATACATGAGTTTACTGGTGGACGATGTTAATTTAGCTAAAAGAAAACTAATTTACTTAAGATTTTAATAAATGCTTTTGTTGCATAGACCACACTATCAATAAATAATTATTGAAAATTGCTTAAAGTAATTTAAACAGTTATTAACTATATTTTAGTAAATTTAATTTAAAATAATAACTTAAAATATTTTAAACAATTTTTAATCAATATTCACATTAAATAATCTATTTACATATATTATATCGCCTAATATTTATAAAATTAACAAAATAGTTTTACGTATTGTATTTGAATTAAAAACATAGGCATTTAATAAACAAATTTGATAAGCATTTAATAAACGTATTTAATAAACTATTCGAATAAAAACATAGGCATTTAATAAACTCAGTTTCTATTATTTTAAATATAAAATTTTGATTTAAATATTAGTAAATCTGTTTATTTAACCTTTACCAAAGGTTATAATTTTTTAAGTGATTTTAAGGTGCCGATTAAATTAAAGATAATTAAAGAGATAATTACAGTTAACATAATTTTACAAATATTCTATTATTTTGATTAAAACCATACTATATTTTTAAAAACATAATTTTAAAAATATATATTTTTATAATTATTAAGAATAATTAAAAAAAATTAGCTTTGAATAAATAAATTACATTTACTATGGGTTATTTTAAACAGATCTAAATAAAACTTTTATTAAATTATTGAAACCTTTTTTATTATTATTTTAAAAAGAATATTAAAAGGAAGAAAAACTGTCTGAAAAAGTTTATACTTCATTTTTTCCATTTCCTCACGTAAAATAAAACTGCAAACTAAAGATCAAAAGTTCGTTCATTCAAAAATTAAACTTGCGTGATAGTTACAAGGATAGTTACAAGTTTGTGCGATAGTTACAAGTTATTTTTTTACTTTTGTTCATTTATTATCAAAAGCAGTTTACTCTTAATTATCAAAAACAAAAATTAATTTTACACTGAATGGATATTTAAAAACGCTATAACTTTCAAAAAAGCAAATCTTTGATACATTCCGTTGTTATAAAATTTTGCAACAAGATTTTAAAATTAAGTTTTGTTACGACTTTCATTTTTTTTTTAAAGCTATGTCCAGTTAATAACCGCAAAGGTTATTAACTGGACATAACTTTAATAAAGGCAAATTACGTCACGTAGTTATGTAAAAAAGGTAATTTATTTTTAATTCTTTTTATATTCCTGAAGAAAAAATGAGGTAGCTAAATTAAACTGAGAATTTTTTATATACTAATGCATTTAAAACTAAATTTTTTTTCTATTTTTCAAAAAAAATCAATAGGAAAACTAAAAATAAAAATAACTTTTGGGCGCTTTTGTTTAGGCGCCCATACTGGTAAAACAGTACTAAACACGTCTGAGTTCTTCACTGGTAAAACTTCTTGGTATTGTATGTGCATGTACAAAACATTCAATTAAACATATGCTCATACTAAATCTCGCCAACCTAACACGCTCGTAAAAAGTGCTATTTAAGGCTAAAGACACTCGTAAATAGCCTGAAAGGCTATTGACGAGTAAACTGCTTTTGAGTAAACTGCTTTTGTTAATAAAGAGTAAACTGCTTTCGATAAAATGAACAAAAGTAAAAAATAACTTGTAACTATCGCCCAAACTTGTAACTAAATAGCTTCTAAATTGCCTGTATATATAATCTCCTAAATAGCCTTTCAGGCTATTTACGAGATTATATATATGAGCGTGTTTAGCTTTAACCCGTTAACAGTCCATGTCGTAATATTACGCAAAATAAAAGTGGTTTCTGAATGTCTATGCCGTAATATTACGGTTTTGTGCATCTCTTTATATTTGCTTCTTGTTCATCAGTAATTATACGTGTACTTGTCACAAAAGTTATTACTAGATAATTACAGAGCTTTTGTTTCAATAATTTTCTTTCAAATGTGTTTAATTTAATTTTAAATGACAAATAAGGAAGTTCTTTCAGTGCAAAAATAATTATCAAAAAGTAAACATTTACTCACGAAACAATAGAACTTTATACATTTGATGAATCAATAAGGAAAAGATATATCTAATGAATGATTATTGAAAATGATAATAAAAGAATAATGCTCAAAGATGGTGTGCGGTATGTTACAAACACAATATTCAAAAAGGTTCAGGATATGAATATATAGAATGTAATGTAGGACTTTTTACAACTCCTTGCTTCTTACAGTTATCATACAAAAAGTTAATATTAGTGAATGCATTTTTAAAATTTTAAGTTTATGTAGTATGATTTATATGTTCTTAAACTTGAATAATAACATTTTATAGTGTTTATTAATGTTAAAAATTTATTTATATTAAAAAAAATTTATTCTATTAGTTAAAAAACAAGATGAATTTATAAAAAAGCTGTACTAATCGCGACCATTTTTTAAAAAAACAGAGGACTGTTAAAGGGTTAAATAGCACTTGTTAATAGCCAGAAAAGCTATTTATAAGTGTGTTTTTTTTTCCTAAAGTGAAAAAATGTTTAACTAAACAGTACAGTTTGCATTATGTTAAATATAGAAATTATATTCATTACAAAGTACGCCACGCAAAAACTAAAATTAAAACTCTTAGTCAAGTGATTTTAATCTCATTGGCTAATGATTTATTTCTTCTATTTGAAAGTTAAATTCAGTTTTTTTTTAATTCCTGTTGAACTTCATCATATTATCTGCTTAATTGTACCATGTAATAAAGATATCAATACTTGCAACACTTGAATAAAAAATCCAAACTTTGAATGTCTAAAAATTAAATATCTAGCTCAATAACTTCACATATAGCTTCGATTGTGTACTGGTTCAATAATTTGTCAACCTCAATCTTTTAGAGGTCAGCATCGGGTTGGGAAAAAGAAATTGATACAAAGGTCTTATCATAAAACATCAAAACGAGGTTGGCAGTTTTTTGCCGACTGCAAAAAGTTTTAGGCTGGCATTGTCGAATACCGACCCTAATTCCGATGGTCAATAATGACTTTCTCTATGTTACAAATTTCAACTGCCCCTTTCAAAACATAAATTTTAAAAAAAAGTTGTTACTTGTTAGTAAGAAAAAATATAAAATTTAAACTTTGAATATCGCCTAAGTTTGTGCCATAGCTACAGACGTAGGTTTAAAATTTTTCAAAAACTACAAATAGTTTTTTTTGAGATTGGTTAAACGCCATAAAGTTTACTATCGTAAGTAATACACTGCTTTAAATATGCAAAAAACAAATACTGAAAATTACTAATTGCCCTGCATATATATACGTCATAAACAGTAGAAGGTTAAGAAAAAAACCTTATGCTTTTTATTTTAAGGTAAAGGGGCAGTTGAAATTTTTAAAATACTCCACTTCCTCATAAGCCTAATATATAACATTATTGAAATAAAATAGCACTTAAAACACTTAATAAAAAATGTACCTTTCCAAATACACATGTGAATAGTCCATTTACTTTTTCTAACCTAGTTTTATAAAGTTTCATTTAATATGTATATATGTCATTAAAAAATAAGGGATTGAGGAAAAATTTAAAACTTAAGTTTTTTGTTTAAGGGAGAGAGAGCACAGAATTTTGCAACATACTCTGTTTATGTATAGCTAAATACAGTACTCAGAATTAGAGTCAGCATTCAGTAATCCTGATCTAACTGCCGACCTAAAAGTGTTCAAGGTCAGAAAAAAATTGCCAAGTCCTATGTTTTATGGTAACCCCTATGTTTCAAATTTGAATTGCATACCTGCAACACTTTAATAAGGTAAAATTAGGTCGGTTATAAATTGTTGACCTTAACCGTCCTAAACCTGAAAGTTGTAATAAAACAGTTGGTATATGTGTAATCTGATGTGTCAATACAAACAAATTTAAAAACAAATCGTTTCATAGAACAAATAAAAACATTAAAAATACAAAATATTTCTTTTTTGATATAAAAGTAAAATGAAACAAATCAACAAATAGTAAATTACCGTTCCAGATGCACCTGACCCCACCACTCTTACTTTTTTTAAATTTTCAATAAAAAGTTCATCCATATCTAAAGCAAAAATGTAAGATTATGATGTATGCATATTTAATAGGTATTTGAACTTGGCTTTCCTCGAAACATAAATAAGTTATAAAAATATTATTTTTCAAAATATTGAAATTTTTGGAAACCAATAAATTAAAAATGAGTAGAATTTATAGGATTTTATAGTTTACTGTTTGTTTGTTTTCTTATTTTTATTTTTTATTATTTTTTTTTTTTTATTTTAATTCACCTCCTCAAGGCCGAGAAGGCCACTACAGACGAGGAGGCTACTTATTTGTGGCTATAACCCTCTCTCAACTCTATAACTCCGAAACACGAACCTTGACGAACAAGGCCGTTGCGCGGAGAAACGAGTTAAGCGCGGTACTACCAGGGACGTGGTGGGGATCAAACTCGGAACCACTCGTTTATGAAGCGAGCGCTCTACCACTACACCACTACCGCATATTTACTAATACTTTAAAAATTACAGCTTATAAACTTTACTAAATGCTGATTGCTTTTAAACAGATTTACAACAGATTTTGGACAACATTTTTTATCTTGATAATCATCTGATTTGAATCTAGCAAAAGAAAATTAGTTGTTTTCTCTAAAACCTATTTATCTTTGAGGGTCCTTATATTCCTCAGAGACAAACATCAGAAACATTAATGTCACTCAGACCTATTATTTGCATTCTTAATGTAAATTGAATGCTACCTTTCAACCAAGTTACTCCAGAACACTTTTCACGGCTGTTTCAGAGTGGACATACGGCTTCTTGTTATTTTTTTGAAAATAGTTACTTAGGGGGTGTTACTAAAACTTTCATAACTTTTGAAATAATAAAGATAAATACGTTCTGTAAAAGGAATATGAACACTGACTAAATGTTTTATATTTTATTATTTAATATAATAATCCAAGGCTGCTCTGATTTTTAAATAAACGCGCAAAATGACGAACTTTGCGAAATTTCGAAATTTTAAAGGTACTTTTTAGCCAAAATAATCAGAAAAATTATATTTCTGTTGACTAATATGTAATATAAACATAGTTAGACCAATTATAAAACATATTAACATTATTGACACCGAATGCAAACTGATACAGGCACTACAATAGACGAAATAAAAAAATTGCAAAATTTTTTTTTTTTTTAAAGATTTAGAACAAAAAAAGTTTCGAATTATTTTTGTTTTCGGTCGTAGAGTAATTTCCTGACATTTAGATTGATATTACAATATAACCACTTTTCTCTGGAAAAATAACACATTTTTTATAAATATACATAACAATATAGGCAATTTAATTAATTTGATAAATATCGTTTTGGTGGATTGACATAAATAATTTTTTTTTTCAAATAATATATTTATATATGTTCCATAAATAGTAAACGATTTTTGTATGCAATTGATACTAGTTTTATTTCCATTCCATATGGCAAATACTCTCCATAATCTTAATGACTTCTTATGTTAAATGTTGGCGCTTCATGCTTCTTCTAGAGTAAGGTTTAACTAATGATGCCCCATCCAACAATGATCAACAGTATGATGTTTTGTATTAGTTGTCGTTTATTCATGATTGAAAATTTTCTTTATGATCTGACTGAAACAAACTGTTGTGTAACTGCTAAAACTTATTAGAATCATTTATTTTGTGGATTCTCATAAGCAAGAAATTTTTTTAGTTATCAGTTGGTCCAATGATTTGTTCTTAAGGTAGTATTAACACTCTTTGTACACGCAGTTAGAACTATGTTGTATCCCATTCTTTCACCAGAAAGACAAAATTCTTTATGATGACTGAAACTGTAATGCTTATGTAACTGTTAAAGCACATTCAAACTAATTTCTAAAGATAAGAATGGAAGTTAATTAAATACAATTAGTTTTTTAATATTATAATTGAACTTGATGGCCACAAATAAGACAAAGACCTTTTCTATAAAACGATTTTTTGCCATGCTCTGAACACACAACACACTTTCTTACTTTAGCAGCTTGAAGCTTTCTATCAGCTTTGCTGTGCAATTCAAAGCGTTTTAAAACAAGACGCAGCTTCTGTTCCTGATTCCTTACTGAATGCAACTGTCTTAATTCCTGATTAACGCCGCCATGCAAACTTTCTCCTTCTTCTTCATTCAGCAATCCAATAGTTTTATGCGATTTAACAAATAGTGGCACATTAAAAGTGAGTTCATGCATTTTTCGCGTAATACTTTCATTAGGAAAGCAAGCATGAAACTCACAAGCAAATAAATCTGTATATTGACAAAGCTCAATAACTTCGGCATCGGAAAGAAATGTTCTCTTAAAAAGAATCGACTGCAACTTATTGAAAACGCTAAACACACGCAAAAACTTATTTCTAATTGTCGCATCATCAATAACACTACAAAGTTTTAAGTGGTTTCTTAAAACTATTTTGCAATGATTACCAACAAATACATTACCATGGTAAGCTTGCAGCTGAACATTCATATCATCAAGGGCCTGCAGAAGAGCCTTCTCATGAGTGCCCATGTCGCTTCTTGATTTTTTTTCAAGATCCGCGCATTCAATCTGCAATCGTGTATACTCATAATCTAAAATTTCTCGTTGTGCGCGCATAAAATAAATTTTTTCTGAGATATACAGATGAAGATCTTCTATATCTTCACCCTGACAAGCTAAACATGCATAATTTTTTATGTCACACAATACACTCTTTTTAGAATCACCAATAATTTCACAATATTGATGAAACCACTCTTGACACGTACCACACTGCACCCAATCGATGTTAGAATCATATTTTGTAATTAAACACCTAATGCTAGCACAATTTTCTGACTTTTTAATACTGATTTTTTTATCGGAGGAGTTTAGTCATATGGATTCTAATTCAGAAAAATCATTTTTATTACTGGCTATCCATCGAGCCTGTAGATTTACTATATCTACAAACTGTTCCCCGATTAAACGCAAGGCTGCTGTTGTTTTAGAAAATTCAACGCTTTTAGCGGCCCACATTTCACTTGTTTTCACAGCTTCATTATTAGATAAAGATGAATCAAAATTTAAATCTAAAGTTTTACATTCCTTCAATAACAACTTAAACAGTTTTAACACTACTCCTAACATAAAATGCAAAACAGGAGGCACTACATTATCTAAAGATATTATGGGGAAAATCACAGGAGAAACAACTGAATGATGAAACTTACCTAAAGCTCTTAGGTTTCCACCTTGTCTATTTTCACACAAATTCTCATTGTAAGCACCTTCTAGAGATTTTATTGTTCTCCTTATGATGCTGCAATTACCAGGTGTGTGAGGCATAGAGCCATGGCTTCTTAGAGAATTTAATTCAACTAGGTCTGTATAACTAGAAAAGCTAGCAGCTAAACCCTGGTGTCCCAGAACATCATCAAATAAAGTGAAAATCTCCACCTAAGAACAACTTAATTTTTTTGCCTTTTAGTGTGAATTGGGACGACTGAATTCGTTTTTAGAAGCTTCATAAATTTTTATAGAATCTTTTTTTTTGTCTTAATAATTTTTTGCACATTTTTTCAAAGTCTTCAATAATAGGCAAATTAAACTCAATTGGCATAATAAAACTTATAAATTTAAACAATGTTTTAAATGGAGAGATTTTAAGTAAAATTAAAATCACGTTATTAGTGATTTTATCAGCGTTCATTAATCGCTTAATAAAAGAAAAGTTACATTCATTTTCCCAGCCATTTTCCCATCCAATGTATAGTATTAATATCTTCCTTTTACGGCGCTTCTGCAGTTTCTCCCCCCCCCCCCCTATTTTTTATTGTTGATTATGATAGAGAACTTTATGCTGATTAAAAATCGTATAAAAACTTAGGTCTGAAAATCAACAGAAAGTGCTCTAATTTGATGTTGAAGTTTGTAAAGTTACACTAATAAACGCTAATATTCGCCATTTTTTTAATTCTCGGTTATATTAAAATTCTTTTCAAAGATGATTTTAAAAAAGCCTGGTTTCTATCAACAATTTAATGCAAAACTGTTAAAAAATGCTCAGCGCATCATTTTCTGATTTATCCCTAACCCTAACATCATTTTCTTATTTATCCTTAACCCTAACCCTGACCCTAACCCTAATCCTAACCCTAACCCAAACCCAAATCCTGTACGTTTAATCGCGCCAATCCCTATTTGTCAGTCGATATATGTGCATTTAGTTGTGCCAATCCCTATTTGTCAGTCGATGAACATTCAATTGCTTAATCTCTATTTTTCAGTCGATTTATGTACATTTAAAAAACAATATTTAAATTTATTTCAAAAAAAAAATAATTAAAGTTATATAAAATACATTCATAAAAACATTTAATTCAATTATAAATTAATTTTGATGACAATAAAAACCGGGTCACGTAATTAAAAAAAGATTTTCTTAACGATCGATTTTAAAATATAAACTTTGATGTAAAACGTATTTAAAAAATGGCGAATATTAGCGTTTATTAGTGTAACTTTACAAACTTCAACATCAAATCAGAGCACTTTCTGTTGATTTTCAGACATATGTTTTTATACGATTCTTAATCAGCATAAAATTCTCTATCATAATCAACAATAAAAAATAGGGTGGGGGAGAAACTGCAGTAGCGCCCCCTTCCACTAGAATGCATAGTGATAAATAAACTTTTCAATAAAAATATAATACAAACAAATAAAATCAAATAATAATTATTGACAAATAACAAGTATGCAATAAATATCAAAGGATTAAACAACTTAACTGATGTTTGTAGATTAGCCACGAGAAAAAAAACCCGCTAAAGTTTGTTTTATTTATACTAAAATTTGTCTCGCTAAAAAAGCTGTTTTTTTTTTTATTTAAAACATGTTTTAAATAAAAAAAAAAAGGGCCAAAATTCTATGTAAGTTGGATTCCTTTCAAATATAAGTACAAATTCTTTAATCTTTAAATCGTTCTTAAACATCTTTAAACTTCCATTAAATGAAATTTGTTTTTGGTCTATTACCTGACCGGTTAAAAATTAAAAGCTCTTATTTTATTTTTTTATTTTTTTTATATTTATATGTAAGTAGATATATTTCATTACATTCAATAGTTGTAAATTTATTTATTAGTTATTTGTTAATCATTTGATAATTTTAGTAATTTCAGACAAAAGATTGAAAGTTTTCATGTTTTTAATTAGGTTTATTTGCTAAAACCTTTACCTTCTATTATATTCTACTATATTGAATTAGATTAAAGAATAACTTAATTGACTTTAAAATAAAAATTTTGTTAGTCAATAAGTTAGGATCTAATTAGATACTATAGCTTAAACTTGAGCTTTAAATAGAAATCTGATAAAGTTAAATGATAAAAATTTTACAATGAAAAACTTTTCAAATTGAAATTTTTAGATTAAATTTTAAACATTTAAATTATTTAATTAAAATTTGAAATTAACAAAAACTCCATTATTTATTTTGTTTTCAATAATTTTAAAGTAAATAACCTTTTTGTAAACGTGTAAATTTGTTAAAATAAATCTATTAAAAGTGTAAATCAAAATATAAACTCTTACCATTACCTTTGTTTGCTTGAATGTTAGAAGCAATAGATTCATATCTAAATAAATACTTTTATTTATAAGATATATAAAAATCACTAATTAATAACATAAACAATTTTAATCTCAAGTTTTAATAATAATGAAAAAACAACATTTGTATGATGTTTGATATAGAGCTAGAAAGTAATATTTACTCTTGTGACCGAAGTTAAGTAGATTTTTGTAAAATTTTACTTTTAAGTATTTTTTTGAAATGTGTACTTTTACTTTCACTTAAATATTTTTTGTAAGTATTACACTTCACTATATTTTAAATCATACATGTTATAAGTCGTACAAAAAATTCTATTTATCTTTATTATTTTATTCAATTATCAGTATAAAAATTTATTGTGTAACAATACTTAATGTCACAAAAAGTATGATTTACTTTTTTTAGATGATAAAAAATAACGCCTTTTTTATTAATTATCTCCATAAAGTAGGCAACGGTAAATTTATTTGAAAACTTATTTTTAAGATAGTCAGGGAAAATTTTTAATCTTTTTTTTTTGTTTATTAATGAAACTTTAATTATTGTTCTAAGTAATGTTAAAAACATAATCAACATTTAAAATTTTTACCGCTAACATTTATAAATTTAATCTTTCCTATTATATTTTAAAAAGAAATTTTAAAAACAATTAAAAAAATAAAACAAAAATGTACTATGTTCACATTTTTTACAGTATGCATATTATACATAGCGTACAAATTTATACATATATACGTTAAAGTACTAAAAAAAATTAAGAAAAAGAAAATGTTTTTTTTAATTATTTATCCTATTTACATAACTATTGCCTTTATTTTGAAGATGTTTGTTTTAGATGCTCTTTGCATTTTTTAAAAAAAAATAATTCATTCATTTTTCATAAATGCATATCACAGTCTTTATCTTCGAAAATTTAATGATAAATTTGATAATTTTAGCTTCATGGAGAATGTAGAAAGAAACATGCTTTAAATGACAAAATTAATATTAAATAATCACTTATTCAAATATTGTACCATAAGTAATAATAAATACATGCATAAAAATTTAGTTAAATATACTAATTTTAAAGATATTCTGAAATGAATATAACATATTGTTTATGTTCTGTTGTTTGATGAGTCACATGAAAATGTTAAAAAGTTAATGCAGTAACTTTTACTCTGAACAAATTTTTAATAAGCATCTTTTTACTTAAATAAACCTTTTGATTGGTAACATTTAGTTGTACTTCAGTAAAATTTCATGTAACTGAACTTTTACTTGAGTACAAAATTTTATTACTTTTTCCACCTCTGATTTGTTACATGTGTGTTTAATAAATGTATAGAATTTTAAAGTTATTGATAATTAAAGAAGTTTTTATAAAAAAATATACTTATATTGTATTATTTTCATCAAATATTTGTAAATCTAGAATCTTTTAATGTAGTTCCATGTGGAGATAATTTGGAGAGTGAAAACTCAAATAAAAAACCTCTGATTTAAATATGGGTATATTAAAAAGGAGACTTTTCATTAGGATTATCTCTCGCTCTCTCTTCTCTCTCTCTATATATATGTGAGTGTGTGTATATATATATATATATATATATATATATATATATATATATATATATATATATATATATATATATATATATATATATATATATATATATATATATACATACTTTTTAATTTTATTAT